ATGAAAAAATTACCTATAAAGTAAAAAAATAAATTTCTTAATAAAACGTAAATAATTAATTTATAATTTGTTATATTTCAACTTTAAATGGATTTTGATAAATATTATTTTTTTTTTTTATATATTTTAAATTATTATCATTTATTTATTTATTTATTTTTCATCTTGGATTATTTAAACACTAAGGGCTAAATTCATTTCACCGTTTTAATTTCAAATTATTTTTAAGTAAAATTTGCTGCTTTTGAAAAAAAATTTTAGCTTATTTACCTTCAAATTGTAATAATAAAATTATAATTGATCTATAAACAATATCCAATTTTTAATAGTTCCAAAAAAAAAAATAGTAATCTGGTTTCACATGATAAATAATTATTATCTATTCGGTGAAAACCTTTTTCATTTTTTTTTTAAAACAAAAATATAAATGCTTTAATTATATATAATAAAGATCAATAATTAATAAAAAATAAAGATATTTTTGAGGTTTTGACGCGACATGGCAGAAGCTTTTATCACAAGAGTTTTGGTTTTATGGCGCCTAGTGCTCCGCGGATAACTCGGGTCCAAATTGAATTTATATTAAATTTTTTTTTATGATCAGCAAAATTAATCGTCAAGTTACATCATTTTAATTTTGGATCTTTATCTGGATGGTATTTCGCCAAAGATTGATCGTATTGGAGTCACAAAATTTTTCGTAACCAAGTCTTTTTACCTCTAGAGTTTAAAAGAATTATTAAATGACAATATAAGTGGTCAATATTAAATGATTAAATATTTTAAAATTTTTACTTACGGACAGCTAGACAGGTGACTTTGCGGTTTTTCATCTTTATGTTCTGGTGAGAGTTCTTTCTCCTCAAAGAGATTTTTTACAAAAAGCTCACCACGTAAAGCTTTTTGTTTCCGAGTTGAGTTGTTGGTTCATCAATATCAATAGTCTCAAAAAAACTTCATCTCGTGGCTTAGTGATGGGGAAAAAAACGCGTCATCCGGGTCACCTGGGTTGATCTGGGTCAAAGCAACAGTACGACCATAACCCGACGGGTTGGCTCATGCCGTTGCGGGTTAGCGTTAAAATGATCACGATTTACAGCTGTTTTCATAAGACCTGGGACAAACTAAATTTTTGAACCCGATCCGCCGATCACCGATCCGGTATTTTTAGCTGGGCACCTGATTTAAATAAATAACAACTGAACCGGCTCTGTGGGTCGGCGGTCGGGTTCAAAAATTTATTTTGTCCCAGGTCTTATGAAAACGGCTGTAAAAATTCGGGTCAGGTCGATCACCCGGGTTTGACCCGACCTGTACAGAGCACTATACTAAATATTGTATTTTATAAATTATGGGTTTAATACTATTTCTCCTTTTTTAGGTTAATCTCCTCCCCCTTTTCTTTATTAATGATTTTTGGACTTCGATGAAGTCAGGCTATGCTTTCTTGACAATAGGCAAGGCGGTTCTAATTTGGTGAGACTAAACTTTAAATGTTAGATAAACTAAAATTAGTATCTTGTATACTTTATTGTTCATGCCTATCTTGTTTATGATTGATTTTTATTATAAAAATAAAAGAATAACATTTTTTATTTCGATAAATCATTTCATTTTTTACATTAGGGTACTATAACTTAAACAATTTAACGTTATCTTACATTCTCCAAAAATCACAATTATAATCCAATAGTCAGATAGTACCCGAGTTATATATATATCCAGGGGATCGGCACACATTTACTATTAGCTCTACAGGGCCGGCACTATGTAATGCTGGTCGGCATTATGCAAATGGAAGTGATTTTGGCTCATCTACCAAGGACCTTATTTTTATGTATAGCTCGGGCCTCGGGGTCCTAGCCAGATTATAATTTATATATCAACTGTCATTTACGCAAATATTAAAAGTTTTATAGGGCTCATCTATAGTTTATTTTATCGTATAGCATTAATATTTGTAATATATAGCAGTATTTTGTAAACTAATAACCAGAAAATTACGATTCAAAGATATATACCTAAGTGGGTTAGAGCACGGTGCAAAATATTGTTTTTTCAAAAAGTATAATTAATTTTACAAATTATCTTAATTTTTTTATCAACGAAATTTTAAAAACTAGAGATTTGCTAAGTTTTGTAAATTTAATATCACAATTATTACAAATTAAAGGAAAAGAAATATATTCTCATTAAAAATTTAAAAGTATGAAATATAAATTTTGCGAAACTTTTTTTTAAAAAAACAACTGTTGCTTTTAGTTTAAATACTAATCATAAAATGTTTAATGTTTAGTATTTAATGTTTTTGCGGATAAATATAATTATTGTCACGGGAATTTTTTATATAGTTATTCTTATATGATTTATTTTTTTATAGTATATTTTATTTATTTATTTATTTATTTATATTTAGTTTATTTTATTTTTATTTGATATAGTTTATTTATATAGTATAGTTTATTTTATTTATATAGTTTATTTATACAATTTATATATATAGTTTATAGGAAATGTGGCGTATGGCTTGGTGGGAATCAATTATGGCTGTGATGGGCGATTCGTACAATGGACGATTTGACCGGAAAACGAGTTGTACTTTGGACGATTTGAATAATGGGCGAGTTGGCCAAAGCACTAATCGTCCCAAATTTTGAATAATATTTAAGGGAAGAAATTCCGCTGAGGTTTCGGGGAAGTGATTTTTCGATTATTAACACTTAGATAGAACCTTGGGAATATTACAGAGCGCCGGCAGAGGCAGTAATATTAGGAAATTCTTTTGTAATTGTTAATAAAGAACCCGCCGATCACTCCAATTTTATACATTTCGTTATTGTTTTTATTGTCAATTTTATTTCCGATTGTTATACATTCAATAAATATACATTGTTTATAAATCTATTGCTAATTGTTGATAAACCCTACCCATTTCCTCACGATTTATTGCCGATTACTGCCTATTGTTAGTCAAATTCTATAAATTAACCCGTATATATTTCTGTTACTGCCCTCCCGAACTACACAAATTGGTGGTAACACTAGTATAATTTCGATTAACGATTAATCGACGATTAATCGATTCTAAAATCGATTCTAATAATGATAATCGATTCCAATCCCTACTCACAAAATACCCATGTATATTATATAATTTTTAAATCAAGTATTTTGTATTATACCCGGGTATCTTAAGTACTGAAGTAGTGCTGTACGAGTAAATGGGTTTTCCTTTTAGTAAGAGAAGTTATTTCAAAAAACTTTTGAGAACAGTAGAAATTTCAATTGTATTCATTCATTTAATCTATCTGATATCTAACTTTTGTTTGCAATGCGAGGATAATAAAGAAATTAGTTAACAGAAGGAGATTCAAATTCCTCTGGGACTTGTTGTCTCTTTATGGAATGCATTTTATTAATAAAAAAATAAAGATTTTTGTTTGTTTAATTAAATCTTTCACGTTTTTAATCTCAACATTACTTATTTAAAAAAAAATTGTTTGTTACATAGTAAAATTATAAAGAATTTCTTTGTTATAAATAAATAATTAGGATTTAAATTATCATTAAATTTAATTGAATTATAAAGAATTCTTTTATCTATTATCGACGAAATAAATTAATGATTTATTATATTTATATTACTTATCTTTATTATTATTGTTTATATTTCTTTGTTTTATTTAGTAATACTGTTTAATTAATTTTCTGTTTTTTTATCTTACTTTGTTTATTACTTAATTGATTCTGACAAAAAAAAAACTTTAAAAACAGCGATTGATTCAACTATAAATTTGGAAATGATCAAAATTTGGGTAAATTATTATAAATTTTTATATCTCAAAAATATTAATAATTTGCCTGAGAAAAAAAAATTTGGGTTTTGTCTTTTTTCTTGAAGTCTAATAAATAATAATTATAATTTAAAGAGAACTAATATAAATAAAAATCATATCGGGAACAAAGAATTTTTTTCGTTATTTTATAAATAATAATTATTACTAAATATCAATAAATAATTATTAATAACTATGTAGGAACTTTATTTTATTATTTTTTTTTTAATAATAATTGAAAGCTGAAAATAATGGCTCAATTGCATTATTAAACCATTGCCTCAACCAGATTTTTACAAGCCGGCATTATGTAACAGCGCAGCAACTTCAAAGCACATTTATTTAATGATCGATATTTTGATCATTATGTAAAATAAAATGGCATCCCAAAACTACCTGTGAAGTCTAAGTAATTTGCAGAGCAGTTAAAAATACTATTTTGATATTCTGAAAAAGTTTTTTTTTGTAATATTTTCTGCGTCACAATGGATTTTGAATAGATACAGTAGATGCATAACAAATGCGCGCCAATCTTAGTGTAACTATAACATGCATTTTCCCAATATTTAATATCGTTGCGTTTTTACTTTATAGTCAATTTATTTATTAGTTACTGTTTGTTTTCTATAAAAAAATGAAGAAAATTTCCATAAATGAGTTCTATGAAATTATTTCAGAACCCATTATACTAAAAGAAAAAGAAGTAAAAACAGTGCAACATTCTGAATTACCCGAGGTGGACGATGAATTGTCAGTGTCACTACGAATGAGACTTAAGAGTCATCATTCTGGTTGGGTCACTGTTTTTCGTAAAGGTATGTTTATTTCATGGATTATTAGACAGTTTATTTTTAAAATTTTGTCTAAACTGATCACACGAGATATACATTTAGGTGGTAACGAGCCTGTGCGTACACCTGGACTCTTCCTACATGCAAATAATTCCAAATTATATCCCCGCTTCACAGGAAACTGGGAGGTTAATGCAGGAATTGAAGAAGTTGGGGACGGACTTCTGTTGAATAAATGGTATCATATAACTTACACACTTTCCAATCGTGAAAAAAGAATGGATATCTACATAAATGATATATGGACTGCATTCTATGCTATCGAAAATGTTCAAATGCATAAAGTTAAATTTAATGATGCACCATTGCATATTGGATGGTTTGATGGTGAAATTGGGTATGATTATAATAATAACTAAGTTTGTCTAAATTGTAAATTTTAATATTATCTAAGTAGTCTCTATTATTAAAATCATAGCAATTTTCGTTTTTTTAACTGGCGTCTATCTGCTGAGGAGGTGGCGAAAAATTGTTTGATAGGATACATTCAGACTATTACACATGAGTTCCATGAGATTATTTCAGAACCCATTATGTCAGAAGGAAAAACAGTGCAACATTCTGAGTTACCCGAGGTGGACGATGAATTGTCGGTGTCACTCCGAATGAGACTTAAGAGTCATCACTCTGGTTGGGCCACTATTTTTCGTAAAGGTATGATAGATGAATTGTTCTTAAATTATGACTAAATTGACTACATTTGAAATACATGTATATCTAGGTGCAAGTGGCGAGGAAGGAGGACTTATGCGTACACCTGGACTCTTCCTACATGCAAACAATTCCAAATTACATCCCCGCTTTACAGGAAACTGGGAGGATAATGCAGGAATTCATGCAGTTGAGGACGGACTTCTGTTAAATAAATGGTATCATATAACTTACACACTTTCCGATCGTGAAAAAAGAATGGATATCTACATAAATGGTGTATGGACTGCATTCTATGCCATCAAAAATGTTCAAATGCATAAAGTTAAATTTAATGATGCACCATTGCATATTGGATGGCTTAATGGTGAAATTGGGTATGATTATAATAATAATTAAGTTTGTCTAATTGTAAAATTTTATATTATCTAAGTCTGACATATTATTAAAACCGGGATCACCCATTAAAACCATAGTAATTTTCGTTATTTTAACTGGCGTCTATCTGCCGAGGAGGTGACGAAAAATTATTTGGTAAGATACATTCAGACTATTACACATGCTTGTTCAATTGCTCACTGTAAATATTTTAAACTTTAGAATCATCGACCCTTCTATTAAGGACCAAAAAGGATGGGATAAGTAGTAGGATATCATAATATATGGCCGACACTTTTATGTTCTCTTAGTAATACAAATAATAAAGTATATGTTGCCTTTCGAACTTTTATTTCGAAAAATTACAAAATAACATGTATTTGTAATTATTTGAGTGAAACGGTAAGGTATATCAGATTTTTTACTAAAATATCTATAATAGCCCACCCCAATCAAGAGGTTATTATTGTAAGTAATATCTGTTGCGTAATTAAATATTGGATGTTTATTCATAAATTCCAGCCGGAATTATATAACAGGCTCGTGACGCTGCAACTTTAGAAATTATAAAAAGCAGTCCTATCGTGACTTGTGAGCGTATTTATTTAATGATCGATATTTTGAAAAAAAAATGTTAAATCAAAAATGGCATCATCGGAGCAGGTAAAAATACTGTACATTTATTATACTATTTTTGATATTCTGAAAAGTTACAAATGCACGCCAATCTTAGTGTAACTATAACATGCACTCCATTAATATCGTTGCAGTTTTGCTTATCATAGTCAATTTATTTATTAGTTTCTGTTTGTTTTCTATAAAGAAAATGAAGAAAATTTCCATAAACGAGTTCTATGAGATTATTTCAGAACCCATTATGTTAAAAGAAAAAGAAAGAAAAACAGTGCAACATTCTGAATTACCCGAGGTGGACGATGAATTGTCAGTGTCATTACGAATGAGACTTAAGAGTCATCATTCTGGTTGGACCACTGTTTTTCGTAAAGGTATGAGTGTTTATTGTTAGTTACTAGTAGTAAATTATGACTAAATTGACTACACTTGAAATACATATATATTTAGGTAGTGACGATGAAGTAGTACTAATGCGTACACCTGGACTCTTCCTATATGCAAACAATTCCAAATTACATCCCCGTTTCACAGGAAACTGGGAGAGTAATGCAGGAATCGGTGCAGTTGGGGATGGGCTTCTGTTTAATAAATGGTATCATATAACTTACACACTTTCCGATCGTGAAAAAAGAATGGATATCTACATAAATGGTGTATGGACTGCATTCAATGCTATCGAAAATGTTCAAATGCATAAAGTTAAATTTAATGATGCACCATTGCATATTGGATGGTTTGATGGTGAAATTGAGTATGATTATAATAATAATTAAGTTGATCTAAATTGTAAATTTTATATTATCTAAGTAGCCTCTATTATTAAAATCATAGTAATTTTCGTTATTTTAACTGGCGTCTATCTGCTGAGGAGGTGGCGAAAATTGTTTGATAGGATACATTCATCAGACTATTACACATGAGTTCCATGAGATTATTTCAGAACCCATTATGTCAGAAGGAAAAACAGTGCAACATTCTGAATTACCCGAGGTGGACGATGAATTGTCAGTGTCACTACGAATGAGACTTAAGAGTCATCATTCTGGTTGGGTCACTGTTTTTCGTAAAGGTATGATAGATGGATTATTCTTAAATTATGACTAAATTGACTAATATATACACTTGAAATACATGTATATTTAGGTACAAGTGGCGAGGAAGGTGGATTTATGCGTACACCTGGACTCTTCCTACATGCAAACAATTCCAAATTACATCCCCGCTTCACAGGAAACTGGGAGGGCAATGCAGGAATCGGTGCAGTTGGAGACGGACTTCTATTAAATAAATGGTATCATATAACTTACACACTTTCCGATCGTGAAAAAAGAATGGATATCTACATAAATGGTGTATGGACCGCATTCTATGCTATCGAAAATGTTCAAATGCATAAAGTTAAATTCAATGATGGACCGTTGTATATTGGATGGTTTGATGGTGAAATTGGGTATGATTATCATAATAATTAAGTTTGTTTGAATTATAAAATCGTTATATTAAGTTAACACTGTCCTTTATTAAAACAGTTATTTTCGTTATTTTAACTGGCGTTTATCTGCCGATGAAGTGATGAAAAATTATTTGGTATGGCATGTTCAGACTATTATACATGTTTGTTCGATTGCTCACTATAATATTTTAAACTTTAGAATCATCGACCCTTCTGTTAAGGATCAAAAGGATAGGATGAGCAGTAGGTATCAAAAAATGTTATGTAATATATAGCTGACACATAATCCGATTTATCTTGGTAATATCGATCCGAAAATCAAAAGAAAACCATGTATTTGTAATTTATATTTGGGTGAAAACAGCAAGGCATATCAGACCTTTTATTAAAATATCTATAAACCAATAATTTTTAATTTATTGCTTACCTCGATAAAAAGATTAAATTTAAATTTTCATTTCTTGACTGGAATGTTTATTTGTCTATATGTAATCATCCTACATTTATTATAAAAATTTTGAAATCTGATGCAATCATACTTACTTAAAAATAGTAAAATCATTATTTAGGATTTAGTCTACAAGCAAAATTATATACATTTAAGTTCTAAAGGTTTTATCCCTGTAACCAAGTAGACTTGGGATCACGGGTTTTAAAAAGTTTGGATACGATGCGTAAATAGGTCATGAATATACTGTTGCATAAAGTAAAGTTGCCTGCCGTAAGTATTAATTATGGCGTTTTGGATTACGACTTGGGTTGCAACCCTGATTTACAACTACGGCTTAAAGTTATAACGTGCCGTATTAAAGTTGTAAATCGGCAAATTATAATTAAAATGTAAATTATAAATATTTAATTTAAAAAATCAGGTTTTTGATAAAGATCAAAACGTATTGTAAATGGAAGATAAATTCCTATATAGCTCCATATTCAATTGGAATGATACACCTAACACCATTAATGTGGTGGAATACATGTGAAGATTGTGAAGTCAAGCCAAAGCATCTGCAACGATTAGCAATTAAGCTCTTCTCCATTACACCAAGTTCTGCAGCATGTGAACGAATGTTTTCATCTTTGGGATGGCTATATGGAAAGCGCTGAACTCAATTATGAGTGGATAGATTAGAAGGATTGGCAAAGGTTTATCGATTTAATCTGCAGAATAGTTTTATCAAACTCAAGAAGAAATTTCTCCTAAAATGATAAAAAATATCATAAAAACAGTTTTTAATGAACTTGAGGAAGAAGTCTCTCCAGCTGAGTACCTTCATGCAGACGAGTTGAACTTAAACTTAAATATTTTGGATATGGTTGATTTCCGATCTCCAATTTTTCACCCTAATTAACTCATTTTAATAAATAATGAAAGAGAAGAGTATGGTGATGAATCTAGATACACACATTTGTATACAATTATTTATGAATAAAGTTTTCAGTATTAAATAGTAAACAATAATATTAATATTTAATACTTTTACAGATGAAAATCCTAAGAATTTTTATTAAAAATGTTCGTGTGATCAAAAAATTATTAAAATATTTAAATCAATATTAATAAAACTGACCAATTACAACTGGTTGGAAAATTACGGCAAAACGATCAACTCTACGACATTACGTCACAACCTTCCAACTCTGTTACAACTATTACGGCACGCAACACTAGCATAAAGAATAAACAGGTAACTTGTGTGTGAAAAATTACTTATATATAATAAAAGTATCATTAAAGTAATTTTAAAAGTGGCATTCATATTTTTAGATATTCTTAAGAGATTTGACAATTAAATATCAAACAGAAAAACTGAAGCTAATTATAGCATGAAGGTATCTTTACATATTATTTTTACCTTCGCCTAAAAACATTTTTCTGGCTTTTATTCCCTGATTTTCTTTAATTTACTTTTTAATGTATAATTAAGTTGTTCAATACGTTATATCTCATAAAATAACGTGATAGTAAGTTTATCAGCAGGAAATTTGATAGAAAGCGAAGGTCCCTAAAATACATATTGTTTATATCTTTTTTATAACAATTGTGAAAAAGCTATGTCATGCTATAAGTGGGTTAAACAATGGATTTCTACATACACATCTGCTTATGATACCAAGCGCCAAGCGGTTATCTGCTACGAGTTAAAAGTCTTGCCAGATTATAGCATAGCCTTAAGCCTTGACCTTAACAAGATTGAAAAGTTATTTATGGTACTATAGTCTCTTTGTAACAATAATACAAAATTTGATGTTAAAGAAGTTTTAAAAATGATACTTTCTTAAAACTTCTAAACATTTTCAGATTTAATTAGATGGAATTTCTCTAAAATTTAAAATAATCTATAGTTGAAGTAGAATATCCATAAAAGCTATTTAAGGTAATATATCACCTAATTTATAAAATCATTATTTATTGATTTTGATCAAATCTTAAAATATCACAATTGTCACATGCATTTTTTTTTCATTTATTTAAAAACATAATTTTTACTATTCCATTCTTTTTATGAAGAGTCATTGTAAAGAAATTGCTTTATGAAAAAATCAAATCAATTGAATTATTTTTTTTGTAAAAGGAAAATACAAAATATGAAAATGTTTCAAATCATAAATTTTTTATTGTCTACTAATATTCGCTAGGATTGTTTTCTCATTATCTCTTGTACCAGTTAAAGTCTTCGAAATATGTTTTAAATTGTAAATCATGTCTTAATTTTCCTTTTTACTTAAACGATCTTGATAATTCAGGTATTTTCTGATCCAAATTATAAAAAAGACATGCTAACTTAATAATTTTATTAAAGCAAATTAAAAAAATATATATAATAGATGAATCTCTGATAATTCTGGCCAAATTTTATAATTCTGGCCTAAATTATATGAATTCTTTCTCTTATTTTTATGAGATTGTGTTAAGCAAAGAAACTGAGTTGTTATATTCTGAATATATACAAAATATACAATTATTACTATATATTTTTTTATTGAAACAATACTATTATATCTAAATTTTGAAAATAGAACGTCACTTGTTATAACCTTTATTACTTATGGAAACTGCAAATAATTTTATATTGCAGATTTGGAATAATTGATACAAATGATTCGTCATTAATAACAAAATTCTCTACTCTATTTTAATTTTAATTACTTAAATATTTAGGAACAGAACATTTTAAACCTTGTTATAACCTATAATATTACAGTATCTGAAACGTTTTGTAATCAAAGAGAAATCATTTATTTTAAAGTCTTGATATAATAATAAGCTATAAAATACACACTGACATTAGTTCTTTATTTGAACAATTTCCCCTTTTTTCTTTTTGATTCTTAACAGAAGGGTCGATGATTCTAAAATTTGAAAAAAAAAATTTTGAGTACATAATTAAATAATTAAAAGTATTAAAAACAAACATTTGTAATAGTCCGAATATATCCTACCAAATAGTTTTTCATCACCTCTTCGGCGGATAGCCGCCAGTTAAAATAACGAAAATTACTATTTTATAAAGGGGGGATTAACTTAATATAACGATTTAACAATCTAGGACAACTTAATTATTATTATAATCTTACCCAATTTCGCCATCAAAGCATCCAATATGCAACGGTCCATCACTCATTAAACTTAACTTTATGCATTTGAACATTTTCGATGGCATAGAATGCGGTCCATACACCATTTATGTAGATATCCATTCTTTTTTCATGATCGGAAAGTGTATAAGTTATGTGATACCATTTATTTAACAAAAGTCCATCCGTAACTGCTTCAATTCCTGCATTATTATTCCAGCTGCCCGTGAAGCGAGGATGTAATCTGGAATTGTTTGCAAATAGGAATAGTCCAGGCGTACGATTAAAATTCCCTTCTGTTTCGATACCTGAAATAAAGTGTATTTTATGTGTATGTATAATCAATTTGGACGTAATTCTAAAAATAAATTACCAAATAATCTGAGCTCAATAAAGAGTCATACCTTTTTGAAATATACCGGCCCAGCCAGAATGATGACTCTTAAGTCTCATCCGTAGTGACACTGACAATTCATCGTCCACCTCGGGTAATTCTGTATGTTGCACTATTTTTAGTTCGTTTAACACAATAGGCTCTGAAATAATCTCATAGAACTCATTCATGGAAAGTTTCTTCATTTTCTTTATAAAAAACAAACAGTAAACTAATAAATTTAATTGATTATAAGATAAAGTAAAGACAGAGACATTAATAATGGAAAATTGTGAATAAATGCATATGATTATGGTTACACTGAGATTGGCGCGCATCTACCTTTTCCAAAATATATTTTAGCTTCAAAATAAATGGGTGTATTTTTACTTACTCTGCAATCTGCATTTCACTTAGGCTTCACATGTGGCTTTGGATGTCATTTTTGACTTAACTCACTAAACTTTTGAATAATTGGAATATCGTTCAAGTCGGTTATACTAATTTTCGCCCCTAGTTCCAGGGTCCGATTGATCAACATCTGGAATTTTTTGATTTGTAATCATTTGGACTCCTGACTTCTGCCGTCGTTACATGAAATCCGATTTAATTCCACATCGGATCCAATAGGAACCTGGGCGAAAATTAGTATAGTCCGATCAAGTCACGTTAGTACTAATTTTGAAGTTGCTACTGTACGCCACGAGCTTGTTATCATGACGGCTGGAATTATTCGAAAGAATTTCGTAATTTTTTTTTAGTGATTTTACTGTACCTGAAACGTATTTTTTGTAATTTTTCGATAATAATTTATAAAACACAAATTGTGAACAATAAAAAAACATCATGTTTTATTATAAATAGTATCAGACATAGTTATTATTTTGATATCCTATCACCTATTCAGTATTCACCTATTTTACATTTTGTTAATTTGTTTTTGAAGGGTTCGATGATTCTAAAGTGTATTGTGAGCAATAAAACAAATATGTTAAAAAATAAAAATGACTACTTATTTTTCATTGCTTCTTCAGTAGATAAACACCAGTTAAATAACGAAAATTACTATAATTATTATTAATGAAAATTATACTTTCAATCTCTTATATTTGATAAATCATAATCAATCTCACAATTATACGATCATATGATTAGGTATATATTTTTAATTTCTCTGTGATCGCGTTATGTGAAAATTCAATTCGATATGAAAATAAAAACGTTTCTCAGTTTGTGTATTTACAAAAAATATAACTTTTTTAATATTATTTTATAACATACTTATAATATAAATAAATCAAAACACGAGTACCCTTGTTTTTTTTAAAAAAATAATAAATAAATATTTTTTTTTTTCTTTCATCAGTTATCACAGACTCAGTATTATCACTTTAAAATTTAGGTTTTTAAAAAAATTATTAAGCACAAATTTTTTATAACAATGATTAATTGAAAGTCATTTTTCGTTAAAAATAATTATTTGTTGTTGATATACAAATTATTATATATAAAACAAATTTCGGAGTATTAATTTTGAGGTGATGCTAAAATTAGTAAACTATTTTATCAGATGTTACTGCTGAGAGGCTATAAAGGAACATTTAATTTCAAACAACATCAGACTTATTATGAGTACACGGTCTGTGTAATGATAGGTATAAACTGATGTGGAATGTATTTTAATATTGTTTTATCTCAGCTTAGTTTATTTTTATTTAGAGCGACTATTAATGTACTACTTGACCCAAAACAAAATGAATTGTCATACTGAGAAAATTTCATTTACCCTATTCTTGCAAAATTATTTGATGATATAATGAGTAAAAATGTGGGGTTGAATTTTTTATTGAAAAGAGCCCGTCATTTATTAGAATATACTACCTATTCTCATTTACAGCGGTGAGATTGAAATATTTCTAGTAAGACCAACGAAACGAAATCTGATAATACTTGCAACGAGGTAACATCATATGTCATCAAGATGGTATTTTTGAAGTAAACGTTAGTGCAACTACATTGGAAATAGGCATCACATTCAACGTGAAGCTAAAGAGAATCAACTCACCTGTTTGGAATCATATGGGATTATAGTCTATCATAAGTGATGTGAATTAAGTTAATTATAAATCTTATGTCCCTATTTTACTGATCCTAGAACGAACCTTTACTTTTTATGTTATGTTGGATGTCTTTATGTTGTGTATAAGTTAATGGAATTCTCCATACCAAATTCCAAAGACCAACTATATACACTAGAAGAGGTTGTCGAGAAGGTCTACATGTTCAAGGTATTAAATGATTTTAATGCCAACAGTTCAACGTGTTTGTCTTTATAACTCATGACCTTATTTCATCCTTTGTATTACAGAGCTGAGTCATGGATTGCGCCTAATTCTACTCAAAAAACCCTAAAAAGCGATTATCAATATATTGAATTAATTAAATCCGCTTGTAATGTAATTTGTGAAAATTTAGCTTTTATTTATAAATACTTTTATTCAAATTGTAAAATTGTAATAAGATAGTTAAGATGATGATATCGGAAAATTTTTTCTATTTTGTTCCATTTGTTCCAAAAAGGAACGCGCGTGTGGCGAATACTTAACTAGCGTCTAAGGGTGTATAGAACTTTTAATACTATATAGTAAAGAAAAATAGCGCGGATTAAAAGTATATCTACCTCTCCCAATGATGCATAATACTACGCCACATTTTACTGCGCCCTAGTGACCTTAAAGAGATTTTTTTTTACGTTCGTTCATTTTCGCTGCCTATTAAGGAGGACAGAAAAATTTAGCACTTAAGCCCTGTTATATATCACATTGATGAAAAACACTACCGGTGATAAATAATAGAAAACTTATTATACAAATTATATACATCAAAAAATTTTGGTTAAAAATGCTTTATGATAAATAACATATTCCTTTTATATAGAAATTCTACTTGAATTATATATGACACCAAACTAAAAAAAAAAAATATATGATTTGAAAATGGAATAATAGATTGACATTACAGACAATTTGATTCATTTATTTATTTAAGTTCATATTATATTGTTTATTTTTGACTTGTAGTAATATTAAAATATAAAATTCTTGAAGGATATGATTCAATTGAATAATGATACTATGATAATATACAGTATTTTATTTTTATGTAATGCATAGAAATTCTTAACGTTAATTCCTTTATTAATTTATGATGAATTATTTGTAAAGAAATATTTCAAATTAAAAAAAAAACTTTTTAACGTCTAATAAATATTCTTTAAGTATTCACTTGGAATGATTTACTATTTGAGAATAATTGAATTGTTTTTATAGTTCAAATTATAAAAACAAAAAGAACATAAATTTTAATAATTTTGTCAATACAAATATAAATATTTATTTCAAGGATGTGTATGAAAAAACGGACATATTTAAAAATAATCACAAGAACATTTTAAAAGAATAATAATAAGAAAATAACATGCATCCCGAACATTATACAAGATATTTATTAAACTGTATAATAAATATAAAATTTCCATTAAGTTACTATACTTTTTCATTTATAAAGCTTATAATCATGGGAATACTATAAATACAATATTAATACCCAGAAATTTGAGAAATCATTTTTGAGACGAAAGAAAAAATTTGTTCAACTTATATGGTATACAAAAAGAAAAATCAGTTTTATTAAAAATAAGCCACAGACAGATTTTCTTTTTTTTTTTATCCTTAACAGAAGGGTCGTTGATTCTAAATTTAAAAATCGGAAATAAATATCATTGTAAATATGAAACAAACATATGTAATAGTATTAGTGTGTCATACCAAGTAGTTTTTCATTGCCTCTTCGGCAGATAGACGCCAGTTAAAATAACGAAAATTACTATTTTATTAATAGACTACTTAGATAATATGAAATTTTTAATTTATGAAAATTATTATGAAAAATCATACCCAATTTCGCCATCAATGTACCACCCAATATGCAACTGCTTATCATTGAATTTAACTCTATGCATTTGAACATTTTCGATGGCATAGAATGCGATCCATACACCATTTATATAGATATCCATTCTTTTTTCAGGATCAGAAAGTGTATAAGTTATGTGGGACCATTTATTTAACAAAAGTCCGTCCCCAATTTCACTAAGTCCTACATTATCATTCCAGTGTCCTGTGAAGCGGGGATATAATTTGGAGATGTTTGCATCTAGGAAGAGTCCAGGTGTACGCTCAAAATTTCCTTGTGACTCGTCACCACCTAAATGTATATCTCGTGTGGTCAATTTAGACAAAATTTTAAAAATAAACTGTCTAATAATCCATGAAATAAACACTCATACCTTTACGAAAAACAGTGCCCCAACCAGTATGATGACTCTTAAGCTTTATTCTTAGTGACACCGACAACTCATCATCCACCTCGGGTAATTCAGCATGTTGCACTACCAAGCCACTTCCACAATTAAACATCCTAGGTTCCGAAATAATCTCGCAAAATTCTTTTACAAAAAATTTCTTCATTTGCTTGATAAAAACAAATAAACTAAGAAGTTAATTGACGTCTTTTAACTTACGTATGAGCAAAACATACAATCATCGTAATATTATTATAATACGAAAAATTTTAAATAAAATGTATGTTACACTAATTTGCATGTTACTGTTTCAAAACAATTAAAAAATGCTTCTGATTGTTCACATATGGAATATATGGAATGAGATCGGCACATATCATCTTGAAAGTTTGTGGCACAGCTGATGGCCGGAATAACGTTGCAAAAAATTATGTATGTAATTTCAAGCAAAATAGATAATAAACGTATTTTGACCACATGTTAATAATTCTGCATCCATTCTCTTCTTCCAATAGTGATCACATGTATAATTTTTATGGATTGCTTCATTTCTTGCGCGGTTTTATTTTGGTAGTAAAAAATATATTATGAATATACATACTAAAAAAAGGAGTTGACTTGATTAAGAAATATTCTATTCATTCTATTCAGATTCATTTATATTATTATTATTATTATTATTTTATTTCCTTAAAACAATTTATTATTTTTGTGCGAAACTCGTTCAAAGTATACTTCGTCAGTTATACTCACTGTAAAACCTTTAACCCTTATTAGATTAGCACCAAAATTGTTTCTAACTTTGTAGAATATTAAAATAAAAACGGCAAAGAATTTTACTCTGCAAATAATATTAAAAGATAAATACAATTACTTTCATTTTAAAACATACTTTCGTTTCATTTTCTGATCAACTTTAAAATTTTATAAATTATCATTTACGATGTAAATGATAAATTCAAATGAAATGAAAATTACTATTATGAAAAATTCTTTTCATAGAAAGAATTTTATTCTATCCTTTTTAATAAGAAATATAGAGAAAAAAAAAGCAAAGTTCTTTTAAAAAGTAATAATATTCATTATGTAATTACTATATGAATCAGTAATTTTTCAACCCTTTTATTAAGCATATTAAGCATGTTTCTTTCTAGTATTAAAAATATTTATCAAAATTAATTCTAAAATTTTTTATTGGTAAAAATTTTTTTTTTCGCTTTATTTCAATATAAAATTTAATCTGATAATACCAACTTTAATTTAAACTCATACTCTTTAATTTTGGAATAAAATCTTCCAGTTATTTTTGTTCAATTATTTCATTACTTAGGCTAATTTCTCTCTTTTATTATCCTGTCTTTTGAAATTTATAATGATTTTCAAGCGTTTTTAATTTGATAATTTATGCTGATCATCGTAATTTCTGTCGTACATAGTTGTACAGTTGTACAAATTATAAAAAATTCAAATTTAGAAATGGAGTTTTACACGACATATTTTTCGGAGTGAAGAACCCGTGAAATTCGCTTTGCAACTTTTTTCTTTTTCAAAATTTTCACGACTTACTTATTTACATACTTAATTGAAATTGAATTATGACTGATATTCGAGAGGATCATGTCGTTTGGACTGCATATAATAGAGCATATACATTGGATTATACCAACTGTAATAATCTAGATGAAGAACATGAACTTAGAATACAAACAACTCTTATTGATGAATCTCTTACAGAAGATGAAAAATCAGAAGTAATAAAATTGTTAAATAAAGATTATGACTGGGTTAATATTCGTAATAATGAAGGAACAATAAGAATTTGTGAAAATTGTCAAGATAAATGTATAGCAATATTATATTGTGAACATTGTGTTCGAAATTATTTAAAAGAAAATTTTTCAAACTGGACATCTGGAAATAATGACATTAATGATTTAATACGGGAATGTCAAATGAAAACACTTCGGCCAGAAAGAATAGTTGAATGGATCCCATATAATAATTTACAAAATGTCAAATATTTAACTAAAGGTGGATATTCTGAAATTTACACAGCAATTTGGATAGGTGGAAGTTATGAAGAATGGGATTCTAAAGAAAATCAATTAACAAGATTTGGAGACCAATGTGTAATACTAAAAGAGTTAGAAAATGTTGAAAGTGTTAATAAACGTTGGTTTGAAGAGGTATGTAATTAAAAATATTGTTGTGTTATTATTTTGAAATTGGTTAACAATTATGTATATAATTTTTTAGAGCAAATCTCATTTAACTATAAGTAGCAAGTGGGCAGATGTAGTACAATGTTATGGTTTAACAAAAGATCCATCAAGTGGAAATTATATGCTTGTAATGAATAAAATGGAGATGGATTTAAGAACATATCTGAAACAAAACCATAATAAACTTATGTGGAAAGAAAGGATGCAAATTGCTTATAATATAATAGTAGGAATTGACAGTATTCATAAAGAAAATGCAATTCATAGAGATTTGCATTCTGGAAATATATTATTTGAAGATAGTCAAAATTTTCGTATTAGTGATCTTGGATTTTGTGGACCTGTTGATAAACCACTAAATAGTGTATATGGAAATCTTCCTTATATATCACCAGAAGTAATTACTGGAAAAAAAACAACTTTTGCATCTGATATTTATAGTTTTGGTATACTTATGTGGGAAATTTCGTCTGGACAACCACCCTTTATTAATTATGAATATAATTATGATCTTGCAATGAATATAGTAAATGGAATGAGACCAAAAATAATACCGGGAACTCCTTTAGAATATAAAAAATTAATGGAACAGTGTTGGAATGCTGATTCAACCAAGAGACCTGATGCTGATACATTATTTGGTGAAATAAGAAATCTATTATTAAAATTTCAAAACAATCAAGATGAAAGCCGAAAACAAATAATTTCCAATCAACATCAACAATTAAGTAATTACTATTTAAGTAATTCAAGTGATTTAATGAGCAAAAATTGTACTAGTAAAATCTATCAATTTGAAAATTTTCCTGAACCAAAAAATGCAACAGAAGGTAGTAATGTCATTTTGTAATATATTATATATTACATTTAATAATATATTAACATTTATATTTTTCATTTAATCAAAACACAAAATAGAAGAACAAGAAGGTATATACAATAATTTATTTAATACTTTAATATTTAATTTTTCTAAATATTTGTGATAATTTTATAGTATTTCATAGTAAACTTTATCGTTTTAACATTCCTAATAATAGTAAGTATTTTTTAGTTTTAAATTAATATATAACTACAATTTTACCAATTATTTCTTATTACTTTTAGTTGAAGATATTAATAATTCAAGTAATGAGAAAAATATTAACACAAAATCAAATAGTGTATATAAAGGTAAATTTTTATGATTAAATTCAAAATTACTAATAAAATAATAAATCAATTAATTTTTAATAAATTTTCAAAGCACTTGGGAGATTAGAAATCAATTCAAATTATGGTAAGTAAAACATATTATCATTATTAATTAATCATTATTAAATCGGCCATTATTTTAATTAAATTATTATAATTATAATAGAAATTCAGAATGATCATAAAAAAGAAAATAAACAACAAACAAAGAAGCATAGTTTAGACACAAATGGTATATAATTCTTACAATGTTTTGTATAATAATAATTGAAAACAACAATTTATAATTTATCATTATGTTTATATTTTATAGATGATGATGACATATATAATAATCCAAATTTTCATTCAGAAAATCAAGATTTTGAAATTTCTGGTAATGTATCTAAAAAAATTAGGACATCTTAATAAGTTTAGTATTTTTCAAAATTTGTTTAAGTTATATGTTATAAATTAAATCAAAACAATATATATATTTAAACACTAAGACTAGAGTAGCAAAATAATTTGCAAGTTTCTTAGTTTGTAATTTAAATAATTTACAGTGTTTATTTTTTATCTTCAATTTTAAAAGAATAATAAATGAGCTTGTATATTGAACAAACATTGTAATCATCATTGTTGTGAATAATATCAATAATTTAATTTTATTTTGAAATTTATTATAAAAATAAATTAGGATGAGGTCCCTTTTGAATTATAAGACAATAAATAAATGTTCAGATTTGTTGTTTATATAATATGGAAACGTGGCAAATTTATATAAAAAAGTTTATAATGAATTGTCTCCACACTAGAAAATAATTCTTTTTGTAGTAAAAGATTATATTATGAATGTATATCTGATATACTAAAAAAGGATTAAAATAATTTACTATTTCTGTGCGAAGCTTGTTAAATTACTATCTGAAAACTGTTATTCGTACCTCACTTTTGTTATATGTAACTGTCAATTGTCAAAGAATATGTTATCATCGTAGTAAACGCAATATATTAGTATTCCCCTGATCATCTCGTTATTACTAGGATAAAATAGACAGGTATTAGTCATTAAATTTCCAGTCATTCACTGAAAACAGGGAAAAGCTGCTAAAACGCAATAGTCAAGTATGAAGCTCCCATTAATCTCCGAACGTATATCATTCCTTAATTAAACAGTACCTGATCGCTGATGACATGATATTTTCATGCATAGCCTGGGCTCCGCCCAAAAACTCATTAGTGTGCCTTTAGCCAGTTTCACAAAATATACCGTTTTGTTTCTGTGATGACATATGTATTAGGTAACTGGAAAATAGAGGACTGGAACAATCGAAAAAATCACGTGATTTCGGCGAACATTGTTCGCTGAAATTTCTTGGCAAATTTTTTATTAATACACAAAGATAAATACAAAGTTCGGGATGTACCCGTAATACATACAAAAAGTAAATATAAAGGATACATGACTTTTTTTTTTTTACACTAAGACTTGACTATAATATCCGATTTCCCCGCTAGATTACTCGATGATTTTACCCTTTTTATTTCCCTCGATCCCTCCCCACTTTGAGAAGCTTCGTAACCATACAATATGCCTGAGGACTTTTTTCACCTTAATTTGCATATTCTCATCATTATACTCAACAATCACAGGCTCTGACAATTTAAACGATGGCTTTCTCTCCTCATCAAGCGTGCATTCCACAAAGTACCATTTTTCCGCATCAATTACAGTTCCCAATACTTTATCCATATCATATTCATCATCGATTTCATTAGCTTTGCGCTTGCGACAGATTAGGGACGATCCCATCTGCAACTGTAGCTTGTGCAAAGCCCTGTTTAAAGTCATCTCTTTTAACTTCGACTACTATCGCAAAATCGAGATTTCCTTGTCCATTATAACCCTTGACGAGTTTTTCTGGGATTATTTTGAAGTTTTTCACGTATAATGACACACCGTGGCTAAGTAACAGTATGAGTAGATTGATTTCGTCGCCTCATGTCAATGTCAATTAGGTGGTCTTTTTACGAAGGTTCAACTCAGCCATTAGATGCTTAACCACATCTTTAGCCTTGTCACTGTTTAGATCAGCAGAACCACGGGAAACACATAAATGCTGGGATCAGGGTCATCGCTAAGCCTATAGAGCTCGCGTACTTTCGGAAAGGTCCATTTGTTGAGGGGTTTCGATAGCATCTCAATGAGTACAGTAAACTTGAAGCTTTTGTTTGTTACAAATAGCCGGATCATTTTGCAGAGGTCCACTTGAAGCCCTCGTTTCGGACTAACGACGACATCGAAGTAATGCAACAAACTGGTTAGTAAAATCTCTTCCGGTCAGTGATTTGATCTTGGGTCAGGAAAAATACGTACCATATTCAGACTTGCTAAGTTTCTCCTTCAACAAGGCGACTTCTTCTCTTAATTTCAACACCTCGTTTGAAGTGGCGGTCGAGGCAGGCGGTTCGACTATGACATGAAATGTTTCTTCCGCAGGCAGATCAGCAGTGAAGTATTTCGAAAGGAACTCGTCATTGTCTTGGAGTGAGAGATTACTCAACTGATCGTCACGATAGTCAGGAATTTCTACTTTCCATAGTTTGAGTTTGTCTACACAGCAAAGTCATTTTGTTTTTTAGTTTTTATATCCTCCTTGAGGTCACCAACAAGACTATTCTGTCTTGTCAAAGGAAATACAACCGTAAATTCTTTCCCCATCCATATAGAAAAAAATAAAGTGATAGACATTTTCGGCTTATATACTATTTTTTTTGAAATGTTATTGGTGGATACTAGCGTACGTAGGAACAAGTGTAAAAAAATTTTATTTGAGAAAGAGTAGGGGTATATGTGAGGAAAATGATCGTTTCACAGTCCTACCTATAACTTACAACAACATTTTCAGCCATGTGATGACAGATCATGCCAACAATTCGTCAAAGTATAACAACTTTATTTAATAAATAACGTTGGCTTACAGTACATAAAAAAAATGCTGTGGAAATAAGAATTGACAGTATAAATTAATTTGTAAGTGGAATCGAAAAGCGAAGAAAATTATCTCTGTAATGATAATAGCCTCTTTAAGATTTCTATTTGTATAAACCTTATCAATGGTAAGAGGTTTTCGTGATCGAGGATCAAAAGGATCCTTTTCAAGCTATGCTTCAGTTCTGATCTATCGTAAGAGAATCCACAGGTATTACAACGGGATCTTCCATCCAGTCAAGAGATATGGGACACATGTATTTACTTGGAGCGAAGGGAAATGCTTCTGCACTTCTCACTCGTTGAATGATTCTGGAACACCGATGAGCAAGATCTCTCCAATATTATTATCAAACTGGGGTCTTTCTTCTTTAAGTACAGTACATCAATTGCTTGTTGAATACGTTGCGCAAAATTACCAACAGTATTTAACCCCGCACGGAGAAAAACATCCATCGACACTTTTCCAACTCCTTCGATCTTATTAAGGTTATCAGCCATATTTGCCTTTTTTCTTAGTTATTCGCCATAATTTTAATTCGTTGCTTCGTACTTAGAACGTGACGGGAAAGTTGAGTGAACTTCCACGGGCCCCTACATGCTTTATATCTTGCTGAAAAATATAAAGAGCATTATTAACATTGTCGTGTGATGCCAAGAAAACTTTGAAAGCACATGCTAACGGAATTTTGATTTCTTTTAGTTTAGCGATCACCTCTGCAAGACTCAAAGTAGCTTTACGGCTGTAGATCTCGGAATTGCGAAGTCCTCAGCCTTTCATAACATATGGTTTTGACGTAAATATTAACTTATACAGAGGACCCAGTGTTGCAACAAAGCATTATTTCAACTTTTTTCTCAATTGTTTGGGAAAATTATCTCCGCTCCGAACCACTAGTCAATGGTCTCTTGATTCCGAAGTTTCAAGTCGTTCTGTTTTTATAAATTGGCAAGCTTTTTTCTTAACTCATTAATTTAAAAAAAAAATTGTAAAATTTGTTATATCAAAATTCGCTATAGACTTAATTAATGATAACCACATGATTGAATATTCGCACCGCTTTCGTCATGTACTTTACCGAAAGTTCCAGCATATCCTGTGTCACATTCTCACGACTCACATAGTGTTTCGATCCGGGTAGAAACCGTTACCCGGATAAATTAAAAAAATTATCCGGTTTTTATCCGGATTATCCGCCTCGGATAAAAATCCGGATATATCCGGATAGAAACCGAAATCCGGATAGAATTAATATTAATTTTTTTTATAGATTGGGAAATTCATGGCATATATTAAATAAAATTCATGGTATAAGTTTAATTAAGTTCCATAGTAACAAATTTGATTAAATTGGTGGCGTTTATTTAATTAAATCGTAGATCTTAAATTAAGGTTAGAAACTCTAATTTCGGCCGGCACTATGAATTTTGCCCAAATTATGCTGTAGGTTTGATTTTCCGAAATTTTTTAGAAAATGTGAACTTTTTTTTTTGTCCGTGATCATCAAGATTGTTGCATGCTTTTAGTGCACAAAATGGCTTAATATCAATAAGTCAAAATAATAAACCGAATTTTAGAATTGAAACTTAAGAAATGAATAATAATCACGATTGATTGACTCTAAAAATCAATTCTTATTTTGGGAATTGATTTCAATCCTTCACTGAATAAAAATTTAGAAAGAAAACTAATTTAAACATTTAAGAAAAACTTTTTTTTATTTTCATTATCCGGATTCCGGGTCAAAACCGGATATTTTTTAACCGGATATTTATCCGGGTAAAAACCGCGATTATCCGGATATCCGAAAAATAAAATTATCCGGGTTCAACCGGTTGGACCCGAATACGGATCGAAACACTAGACTCACATTACTGCGGGCCTTAAAGAAATCATTAGGAGTTTATGATTAATTAAAAGTTGCATTTTTAACTAACACCATTATTATTATATTGATTTTTTTATCCCTATTTAAACTTTCTAAATGTTCTCTTGCAAACTTAAATTTCTTTATAATCACGAAAAAATTATATATATGAATCCAAAACAAATTATTAGAGCGTTGATTAGAAAAAGAACAAAGGTTGAAAAACTTGCAGAAAGAATAGGGGTTGGTAAGTAAAGCCACAACTGATATTTCCGTATATAAAAGAACTAATTAAATGGCTTTTTATGTCTTTAGCGCCATTAGCTCTTCCAGTTTTTTTACGAGATGAAAATACCGCTAAATTGATTCTCAAAGCAGAGAAACATATGAATGTTGATGACCCCGCTATCCTAATCCAATGGAACGCTAATGGATTCAATGATACCGCGGTGAAAAACTGCCGCAATGGTGTTCCTGGACAGACACAAGCCGCTATTGTAAATTATATTGTAGGAAACGGTGGCGTAAACTTCAATGGGTTAAACACACTATTTTTATTCAGAAATAATTTGGCCATCACCAATTGTCAATATCAGTTTCCTTCATGGTATGAAAATTTTCAATTGTTTTTTTGGACTTATTAGCCATTTTTAATGATTTCTTCCTAAAGGACCCATCATCAAGCGGGAGTTGCGGATGTGTGTCTCTCAGTTTGCCGAATAAATAAGCCATCAGATGCCGGACGAATAGATTATGAACTCTTTGATTATCCTCTTATGGTGTAAATGGACATATTAGAGGAGTTAAAAAGAATTTTTCGGAAATAACAATGCAATGAATATAACGAATATTCATACTTGAGATATTTTTAAATACGGTAATAAATAAATACTTGTCCATATCAGATATGATGTTTTGGTGATGGTGCAGTATCAAATTACCTGCTTATTTATTGTTAAGAAATTGAGATCCGTATATGGTTCATTCAAATTTCACATTTAACGGGATGCTATACAAGCTATGATACAATAGATTAATGGTTTTTTTCGTAATTTACATCATGTACACCCCACAGAATTCTGTAGGATATCATGTGTCATGTGGGCAAACCGATTTATTATTAACATTAGCATTATTAATCAAACATATGACACCCTACGGAATTCTGTAGGGTGGCATGTGCAAAGAATTTAAAATCGAAAATCGAAATCAGTACGTATTCATTATAGTTATGAAATTCTTGCCAAGAGCAATAACATAATCGACCTTGACAAAGTATCACATGATTAGAGGTTATGTATCTGTAGTTTGATCTTAGCCCAATGACGTTTCTTTATTTTTTGACGTTGACGTACATCACATGAATTCTCCGTCTTTCGATCAAAATTGTAACGTTATATAAAATCATAGCAAAAAGAGTTATTATATTCAACAGGCTACAATATGTTTTGCTTCCCTTTCGAAATTACTGAATAAGCAGTGAGGGATTTGAAGTCCAAGTTCTTGGAATGGATTTTATATTTATGAAGAACGATAATGACCTTGTTGTCTTTGAAGGAGAAGAGAAGACAATTGACGGGGAAGTGATGATGTTAATCCCTAATGATGATACTACTCATATCGATTACAATGGTACGAAAATTTATTTTGACAGGTATGTGATTGGTGATATGGAATACGCAAAATCAATAATCGGGTATTTACCATTATATTATCGACCTTAAGAATATTTTCTTCAGAAATACAAACTAGTATTGCTTCAAGCGACATACGTCGCTCACATTATTTTATGTACGAGAACTGCTATAGATTGATAGCATAACTTATGAAAAATGAAATTTCTATAATGAATAGTAACGAGATAACATTGATTAAATTCATGACCTACCCGAATTTACAAAAAGATTAAATTCTATGATGTATTGGCTCCGTTTCCTGAATCAGAAAAAACGGTTCTCAACATTATAAATGAGCGCATGAATAAACCAAATGTCAAATGAATGTTACAATTGTAACGAGTTAATAGAGTTAATAGATCATGGACATGATCATGAGAATTTACATATGCATAGTCTTATTTGTAGAATTTAAGAGCTATAACAACGTCATTCAAAAAATTCAAAAGTATATTATTCCATGGCTCTATAGGCCGAACGGTTTGTTAATAAGGAAATTTGAACAGCACTACTATTATAATGAACTTGTACTGAGAAAGCCATTAGTAATGTCGTAGGTAATTATAATATATCATTTATTCACGTTACTTGTGATGAGAAAGTAATACAAAATATATGGCACGAAAATTGAATTTGCATATCAGGTATTATAATTAAACAAAATAATACATATTCAATAATCTACGATGAACGCATTACAAAAACGATTATTTCCATTAGAAAGCTTATTGTACGAGGTGACGCGTGGAATCATTAACTTTAAGATTTGGAAATATAAACATTGTAAGATAGAGGACACGCAGTTACTAAAAATAGGTGATCTATACATGACATTTATTTACGATAAAATATGGAAACCAAGATGTGACGAAGTAATATAGTTTGAGAAATCAGTAAATTGGACAAAAGAAAACATATCAAAGGATAAAAGCAGAGAATCTGATATTGAGGAGATAATTTCGCATGATGATAATTTTAGTAAAATTAATAATAATAATAATCAAAAAGATTTAGAAAATAACCAAATTATATAAAAAAGAATTAGAATAGAAAATTTAAAAAATGGTTTAATGAATAATCAGGTAAACGATCTAGATAATAATATACAAAATTGGAACTGCAATATATAGCTAACTTAAGGTAGTACTACAACGTTACTATATGGAGTAACGGTTTTTGGTAACTAAAATATTTTCATTTTACCAAAAAAAAGCCATTCAAATCATGGGCCACGCGTGTTGTGAAAAAATGATCATGATATTTTCCTGATTCTGAGACAGTCAAATATCGATATTATTTATGAACGTATGAGTAAAAAAAAAATTATTTCCGCCCCAAGTTTAAGTTGTGAAGAAAAAAAATATTTTCGCCCAAAGTTAAAGTTGTGAAGAAAATATTGTTTTACTTCACAAGTTTAAGTTGTGAAGTAATCCATAAATGCTTTTCTATGATTAGTGTCTCGTTGATGTGTTTATTTTCAGTAAAATTTAACTTGTAGAAACTATTGAGATATAAGGATATAATCCAATTGAATAATGATGATACAAATTATTTAATGCGTAAATATCCTTAATGTATTTAATGTATTTACTTCTTATTTTTATGATGAATGATTATAAAAATGTTTTTTACGAATGATAATTTTTCCGTAAAAATAGAATATGAAATATTTCGATATAAAAAAGTTTTAAAAGTCTGATATTCTTTAAATATTCTCTTGGAATGTTTTCATATTTGAGGATAATTTATTTTATAGTTGAAGTTGTATAAATTTTAATCGATTTATCAATTAAAATGTAAATATTAACTTTTAATGTATGTTTTTTTATTGGATATATTTTAAAAAATAATTGTAAGAACAGTTTTTTTAAAGTTAATAATAACAGATAAGAAAATTACGTGTATCCTGATCATATTTGAAACATTTATTAAACTATATATTAAATATACTACTTGCATTGTTATTACTAAATTTATTTCCCTTTTCTTAATTTTGATAGGAACAGAAGGATCGTTGATTCTAAATTAAAAAATTTGAAAGAAAATATCATTGTGAACATTAAATAATTAGAAAACAATATTACTTTATGTAATCATTTGAATGTATCATACCAAATAATTTTCATCGTTTCTTCTGCAGATAGACGCCAGTTAAAATAACGAAAATTACTATTTTAATAAAACGACTACTTAAAATACCGCCCATATACCATTTATGTAGATATCCACTCTCTTTTCAAGATCAGATTGTGTGTAAGTTATATGATATTCTCAACTGCATCAATTCCATATTATCACTCTGAAAAAAAATACAAAAATAGGTTTTATTAATTTCTTTTTAAACTCCGCTAAATCAAAAGCTTATATCAATAATGGTATTTTCGTTTTATACATAATTTGCAAACCTACCTCGTTATCATTTCAATTTTTATTTTAATTTTGTTCAAAAAACATCACATTAAGCAATTTTTTGTGGTACAATAATTTTTGCGTTTCAATATAATTGTCATTAAAGGCTTTTTTTTTGAAAAAATAGTCGTAAATAAAGTTCAAATTAACTTAAATATTCCATAAAGCATATTATACGGTCATTAAATTTTAAGTTAAACGAAGTAGTACAATAATTACGAAAACCTTTTTCAGTCATAGAGTATTGATATAAAAAATGCAAGATAAATTTTAATAAATTAATTTCATATTTACAATTGTTAGTAATTTTTTTCAAAACTTGTAATCATAATAAAATTTTATTGTTTTATAAATAAAGTTCCCTGTTATGTTTTAATGTTAATATTTAAAAACTAATAAAACATACTGTATAATACATATAATATAATTTATTACTAAATTCAATCCAAAAAAATAATTCTCTAGTTATTGATAATAATCTGATTCTTCATCCATTTCCTCTTCTTCAAACCCTTTAGTCCAAAATTTAATAATACCAAGATTTTTATATTTTTTCAAAATTTCCAAATTTTCATTATTTTCAATATAATCAATAAATGTTAAAGAAAGTAATTTCTTTGGAATTCTATTTTTCCATCCTATAAAAAATGATTCCCAATCTTCTGGAGAAACATCAGAACTTGAACTACAGAACATTTTTAATTCATGAAAATTACTTGGTGAATGATTTACAACAGTTTCCAATACTTCCTTTTTAATTAAAAACCCATTTCCACACCAAATTTTAATACTTTCTAAATATTTACAATTAATAAATATAGTTTTTAAAATATCTATTTCATCATTATTAAATATAATAAAAAGTTTTCTAATATTTGGACAAAATTTAGCAATGGATGAACTTAAAGCTTTATTCTTTTCACCCACATAAAACATTTTAAGATTCTTTCCATTATTTTCTAAAAATTTAATTATATACTCAGATTTTGGACATTGATAAGGAATTTTTAAAATTTCTAATTTAGGGAAATTAGCATATTGTAATTTTTTAAAATCTTCAAAAATTACTCCATCAATAAATGAAAATATAAATTTTTGTAAATTTGTGAATGAATTAACAAATGAAAATGGTAAACCATTATCATCACTATAAAGTTGTAATTTTGTTATAGTTTGAGAATGTTTTATTACAGCAGGTATAATAATTTCCCAATTAATCCTATCATAAGTTGATAAAGTTAAATTTTTTAATTTATTTTGTGAAAAAATTAATTCTTTTAATCCATTTGATATATTATCTTCAAATAATATAGAAATTGTTTGTAAATTATGACTTATTTGTGATAATTTAAAGAAAAAATTTGAAGGAATATTTGAACTACAACATAATACTGAAAGATCTTTCGCTCCAGGAAAATAAGGAATAAAAATCTTGGAATGAGAATAATGCTCATAATAATAAGTAAATTTTTCTAAAGAAGTAATTTCGTTTGTAAACATTTTAATAATTTCATTCACAACTAAACCATATCTATCATTTATAACAACTTTAATTATTGAAACAATTTTATTAATTGAAAGTACTTTACAAAATTCTGCATAATTAAATAATGATGATGAATTCAATGTAGGTGTTGAAATGAAAATTTTATTTTCATATAAGAGATTTTTTGATTCATTAGGAAGATTTGCAATTAATGTACTAAGAATTGATAATGACATCCTTAATGAACGTGGTTGATAAGAATTTTTAAAATTCCAAATATTTCTCCATAAAATTCTAATAGCTATTTTACACCAAAGTCGATTAACTAGCAAACATGAATGTAAAGTGAGTTTATCTTCTTCTAAATATTCAAGAATTTCATTCAAACATTCAGTTGGAAGTTGACAAGCCATTTTTTTTTTAAAAAAAAAAATATTGGTGTATAAAGTAATAAAGGATTTTAAAAAAAGTTCTATCGTCATTGTACTTTTTGTGTAATAAATACCGAAGTTTTTTTTTTTTCGGGACGCACATTGTGTAATCTTATTTTATTTGTGTAATGTGTAACAAAATTAAATGGTTTCGGTGATCATCAGCTGATTTCTTGAACGCCTGGCCTAAATTAAAATGATTGTCAATCGCTGCTGTGCAACTGTAATACGTTAAGTCGTTATCATAAGACTTTTTTTTTAAAAAAAAATCTTTTTTTACTTAGACAAAATTGAAATCACACTTATTAATCACCAATTTTTTTGATCAACCTGTATTTAAGATGATCACGTAATACAGGGTTGTCACGTTTTATTTGTTAAAATTTAGGCCGATCCTGTAGATCGACGAGGTTTATTAATAGTGTTTCACATTAATTACATTAATTAAAAAAAAATAGTAAACAATTTTTTCTATACCAAAGATTAGAAGAAATAATTTTTTAATGAAATTTTAAATATAATACATGAAACGTATGTTAGACTTACAAATTTTATTCCATCACATTTTGATACTACGCCACAATATTAGTAATGATATCATTGAATAATGATGTGCAACTGTTTGGTTGCGGTTGCACAAATCATACTAAATAAGTTCATTTTGAATGGACGCTTGTTACAATGTAAATTTACGCCCGCGTTACTATTTTTTTTTTTAAAAAAAAATGTAAATTTACGCCAACTTGCAGTTGTACAAACTTATATTTATACGAAAATATTATTCCTAAAAATCTTACGCCGTTAGAGGTTTAATTTTTTTGCAAACAAAAAAAAAAATATGGAAGGAAGTTCAAGTCAGGTGAATTATAATTTTAAGTAATATTAAATATTTTAATTAATTAAAAATTGGGTTTATAATAATTTTATAAATATGTAGAGCGGAAGTTCTTCTAGTAATACTATTCCAGAAATTCACAACTCTGTTTTTTCATATAAAACGGCTTCGCATGAAAACTTCTTCAACAATAGTATTCTTTTAAAATTAGAAGAGGATGGATTTACAACTCCCGATGAAAAGGCAAAAGAACTTGTTAAAGAATTGACTGACATAAAATATTTATCTGCATTAAAATTACTTTTTGAAAATTTACAAAATGAATTTTCACCTCGAATTCTTCGAGACACTTTAGTTGCCTTGACGGATCCGACCCCATTCGATTTTTATGCAAAACAAAGTGTGGCTATATTGGAGTTACATTTGAGAACTTGGGTAACAGTCTTAGAACGGATATGCTTTTCGCCAATAGTACTTAGTAAAGAACTTCGAGATAAAGTTTATAATTCTTTATCAAAATTTGCAGAAATTCATCGTAAAACAACACAAGTTATTGAAATAGGACTTGATAATAATTTTAGATCAAATTTTATCCAATTAAATCAACAAAGCAATAATCAAGATGATCAAATTATCACCAAAAAGCGTAATTATAACATTGACTTCTTTTTAATCCACTTACGAGATACATTACATAGTTTGCGTGATGATGAAACTTGGTTTCAAGAAATTATACGAAGAACTAAAGAATTTCTTAAAGTTGCATTGAATATTACCCCAGGAGTTTTATCAGCATCAGGAGTCGTTCTTCCAAATGATAATTGTTCAATCTTTTCAATGCTTACTCAAATACGTTAATGCTTAAGTTTTAAATATCCTGTATCATTTTATTATGTAGATTGGAGAATTATGTTGATTATTCAACATAATCTTTTTACTTGGTCTGAAGGTACTTAAATGATAATTAGTAAAAAATTCTGTGAATTGGTATTAATGGAACATCTTTGGAGCTTTTTGGAAAGAGAATGGATTGATGTTACTAATAAATCTATTTTAGATTCTCAAACAAAATTTGATGAAGTATCAAATAAAGTTACTAATGCTTTAAAAAACACTGGAAGTTTCTTAAATGATCTCGCTGGAAATGAACCTATTGCATTACCACATACCTTATGGTTTGGAATATTGGATCTTGCACAAATCCTTATTCAAAATTCTACTCAAACTTCTACATATGGTCTTTGTTATTATTTAGCAATTGAATCACTTAATAAAGCTCCAAGTAGTTTCATTCAATTTAAAGCAGTTGAAATTTTATTACATTTACATAATATCGATAGTAAAATGTTTTCAATGATTGAGGATGATTTTGATCAATATATAAAAGAATTAAATGAAAATAAATCATCAGATTTTTCAGAAAAATTTCAAAATTTATTATTATTTATTAAAGAAAAATATCTTGAAGATTTAAAAATTTCAAGTAAAAATATTGGAAAAGAAAAGAAAGGAAAAGGAAAAGGAAAAAGTTTAAATAAAAATTCATATTTAAAGATAGAACAAGCATCAAATTCTAAAGTTATAGATATTATAGCGGATGAAATGACTTGTCCAATCAGTAGTGAACCAGAGGATCAATTATGTATTTTAAAATGTCAACATATATTATCATTAAATAATTTAAAATTATTAAAACAAAAAATATGTCCTAAATGTCGAGAAAAAATTGAAGAAAATGATATCAGATATTTACCACAAATTTTTATTTATAAAAATTTATATACTAAATTTTCTGAATCTGGACATATTATACTCCCAATTAAATCAGAAAATTCAGATCAAATATATGATAGTGATGATTCAAATAATTCAGAAGCTGATCTTATATTAACTAAAAAGAAGAAATCTATAAGTTCAATTATTAAATTAAATTCAAATATATCATTATCATCAATACTTCCAAAATTTTCAAAAAAACAATATCCAACATATCAAAATATTATAAAAGAAATAAATGAAAAACACTATGAAAAAGCTGAATCATTATGTAAAGAATTTTTAAATTTTTTTCCTAAAAGTTATTCTTTAAGATGCATTTTAGGTTATATTTATAGATGTCTTAAAAATTATGAACAAGCACACTTCTATTTGAAAGAAGCCATTAATTTAAAACCAAAAGAACCAATTGCTTATTTAATTTGTGTAGAAATATTTTTTTGGCAAAACAAATATAAAGAAGCAATAAATAATTTAACAAAATCAATAGATTATAAAGCTAAAATAAATAACTTATATATAATACTTGGAAATAGTTACTTATTTAATGAAGAGCATAAGAGTGCAAATAGTAATTATAATTTTGCATTAAATAATCATCCAGATAATTATTTATGTCTTAAGAATAGTGCTTATAACTATGAAAAATGGAAGTATTATTTAGAAGCTTTAGAAATGTTAGATAAACTGCTGAATATCAATAAGGATGATTCTTTAATTTTATGTTATTATGGAGAAATTTTATGTAATATAGGACAATATAGCAAAGCTATATCATATTTTACAAAAGCAAATATTATTGATCCAGAAAATGCTCATAATTTATATAAGAGAGCTATTGCATATTATACTCTTCAAGATTACAATAATGTTTTATTAGATCTTGATAAAGTTATACAATTAGATCCATTAAATAGTTTAGCATATTATCTCAAGTATCTAATTTATTATACAAAAAAAGATATTGATAATGCTATAATGGTATTTAAAAAGTGTAATGAATTATACGATTTTAATGATAAATTAGCAAAAACTCAATTATTTCATCTGGAATGTTTACTGAATAGAAATAATTCTACAGAATTAAATAATATATTAACAAAAATTAATCAAATTTCTAATATTGAAGATAGTGAATTACTAATTTTAGTTAGATGCAAAGTATATGTAGAATTAAAAATGTATCATGAAGCAATGTTAGACTTGAACTTGTTGTATGATAAAATTTGTTATCATTATAGAATGATTCGATACTATATTTCATATATTTATTTATTACGAGAATACACAGATTTTTGGTTATATTTAAATGTTAATAATAACAATAATGATCTCTCTGAATTTGGAATTGTTAATGAATTTAGTAAATACATGTATAAAAGTAAGAGAATGTTTAATTTGTTAACTTCTTATAATATTTAATAATTAATCTTATTGATTATTTATAATAAATTATTTTAGTATTACGAGTTTATTTTATATCAAATCTGGTAAATTTAAATAGCAAACTTCATCAACTTCAAGAAAATGATATAAATAAGTAAGTGGATGTATTTATTATGTATTTTAAAATTTTCAAAAATTGTGATAAATGTTTTAACTTTGAATTTCTTAGTTTATCAGAAAAGATAATAAGTTCAAAAAATGAAGAGCTTTATTTGAATTTTCCCATGCTAAATTTTGATAGGCATTATATTATTTGGAAAATAAATGTTAAAGAAATACTAAATAAAGATTGCTTTATAAAATTTATAATTGTAAGTTTTATTAATTGCTAAAATCTCTTTTTTCGCTATTAAAAATGTTATTTTGAATTAATATATGGATTTATTATAGTATTCTAAACGGTATAATGATTCTGAACTAAAACATTATGAACATGTGTTAAAATATGAAGATGTGTTAAAACTTAAGGGATTAGGTTGGATTGAATATCAGCTTTCAGGAGATTTATATGGAGAATATGTACAACCTTCAATTGAAATAAATGGTTCTATTAATATGGTATGTTTCTACTTTACTTGTAACTTTTTATTTAAGAGAAAATTGATTTTAGTAACTCATCATTATTTATTTATTTATAGCAAATAGATTATGTTCGAAATGAGTATCGTGGTGAAGAGATAACTTATATTTTTAACATAGGTGATTTATTACCAAATTTCCATAAATTGTGTCCAAATATTCCAGAAACTTTTAAAGATAAATATTTTTCAAGAAAAGAAATGGAAAATTTGCTTGAGCTGAAAGATATAATTAACCACCTATGACTGTTTTTTTTTAATTTTTTAAATTAATACTCTTTTATTTTTTTTATTTGCTTTCATTTGTAATATTTTAAAATTTGTAAATTCAAATTATTTATTATAAATAAACTGATATTTTAAAACTTTGGACAGCACTGACCTTGACCCAAATCTAAAAGGTGAAAGATCGAAAAAAATAGAAAGAAAAAAAAATAGTAAATAAATAATTAGGAAAAAAATATTAATAAAATAAAAATCGAGATACTTACAATAGTACCACAGCATTCACTGATCCAAATCTAAAAGGTGAAAGAATGAGCAAAAAAAAATTATTATTGAAAATGAGAATTGAAAAAATGGCTTATAATAATGCCACAATATCAATCTGATCACTGATTTAGATTCAAGTCTAAAAAAAAAAAGAATGTATTCATATAACAATAACAGAAAAATACAGTATATAGAATTAAATTAAAAAAATTATATATAAAAAAATAGTATACACTGGCCTACATTAAATTACCAGATTTTTTTATTATTTATAAAATTAGTGCATAAAGTTCAAAATTTTGTATGCAAATGAAAAATTTTTTTATATTTATTAACCAATAAAAAAATTTTTACAAGATAAAATACTAAATATAAAGTTTACTATTTAATAGATTTAAACTTGTTATAATTAGTATTTAGTGTGTCCACCTTTAGCTTTAATTACTGCTTTAATGTGCCTAGACAAGCTTAAATTAGGTCATGTATCGTTTCTATAGTAATTTTTCCCCACTCCTCTTGTACTGCACTAATTAATTCTTGTTTAGACTTAGGTAAAGGTCTCCTTTTTCGTACCTGACGGTCTAAATGATTCCACAAATTCTCAATCGGGTTAAGACCAGAACTTTGTGCCACCCAATCTAAAATTGGAATGGCATGTGATGACATCCACCAAACAGTATAAGATGATGTATGACACGAAGCTCCATCTTGTTGAAATATAAAATTTGGATAATTGCTAACCTATGGTATAAAGTGGTTGGCTAAAACATTGACATATTTATCAGAATCCATATTCCCTTCCACCACAACTAAAGGTCTGACCTCATGCCATCCAAAACAACCCCAAAACATAACTGACCCTCCGTCAAATTTTACTGTTGGTTGTATTGTAAGCATCTCCAGCTCTTCTCCATACTCTTACCCGACCATCTGACTCAAAAAGAGCAAATCTTGACTCATCTGACCACACCACTTGTTTCCATTCTTCCTTCCAGTTTTTTTTGTCTTTACTCCATCTTAACCTATCCTTTCTCTGTTTTCTGGTTAAAAGAGGCTTTTTCTGTGCAGTATAATTACCAAGGCCTTCATTATGAAGATACTTTCTGACTGTATTATGATGAAAATTTGTGTTAAGGCTTGAGTTTAGTCTATTCGTTATATCACCAAGAGGTGATAATCGGTCTTTACAGACAATACGTTGTAAAGTTTGTGTATCGCGTTTGGTAAGCATTTTTGGATGACCTGGGCATTTTTCAGGTGTTGCGAAACCTGTTTTTTTATATCTTTTAATGGTATCATTTACTGTACTTTTAGGAACACCAAGTTCTTCTGAAATAATACATTGTTTAATACCACTGAGATAGGAGCCAATAATACGTTCACGAAGTGTTTCAGAAAGCTCTTTTCCAAACATATGGTAATGGAAGAGATATGGAGACGCGTCAAAGTGTTAGTTTTTTTATTTATATGTGCGATAGGGAGAAATTGCTGATTGTGTAACATGCGCATGAATTTACATAATAAAAATCCGGTAATTTAGTGTAGGCAGTATAGATTATAAAGGAAAAAAAAATTAAAAAAATTTGGTTTAAAAAAAAAACAAATTAAAGGAAAATTTTTCAGTTTTGCAAAACCAAACTGAAAAAATAAATTAAAAAAAATCAGTTTAAAAAAAAACTGAAATAAAAAATTGAAAAAATATTTCAGTTCTAAAAAAAACTGAAAAAATAAATTCGAAAAAAAAATTCAGAAAGACAAACTGAAAAAAGAAGGAATATTCATAATTTAAGTAAAAGAACTATTGTATATAATGTTTTTCAAGAATATGACAATGTTTTGTTTGATCTTAATAAAGCTATACAATTGGAACCATTAAATAGTTTAGCACATTATCTCTCATATTATCAGTATACAATAAAAGATATTATTATCTGATGATATATTAATAAAATCTCAACTATTTAATTTAGAATATTTACTGAATAAAAATAATTCTACAGAATTAAATATTAAAGATAGCAAATTACTTCAATTAAATGTAAAATATATATAGAATTACTAGTAATGTACTATGAAGCAAAGTAATTGTTATACACATACAATATATATATCATAATAGGTTTTATATTACTTCATATATCTTATGTATTAATCTATTAAAATAAGAATGTGTGGATTTTTGAATGTTAATAATAGTAATGATTTTTCTAAACATGGAATTGTTTATGGATTTAGTAAACATATGTATGAAAGTAGGAGAATATTTAATTCATTAATTTCTTAAAGTGAATAGTAATTAATATATATTAATTTAATAATGAATTATTTTAAAACCATAAGTTTACTTTATATCAAAATTAGCAAATTTAAATGATAAAGCTTAAGATGATATATTCTAAAAATGAAGAACTTTATTTAGACTTTCCCATACAAAATGGTAGTAAGTATGATTATATTATTTGAAAAATAAATATTAAAAAATGTTACACTAAAATTTATATTAATTGCTAAAATTCTTTTTTCTTTTAAAAAATGTTACTTTTATATTAGTAATATATGATGTTAATTATAGGATTCTGATATAAATATGTGGTAAAACTTGAAGAATTAGATTGGATTGAGTATCAGCTTTCAATAATTACATGTGCACGTAATCCTCAACTTTCAATTGAAGTAAATGGTTCTATTAGCATGGTATACTTTTATTTTACTAAAAAAGAAATTAATTTGAATAAATCATCAATTATCCATTTATTATTTATGTTATATTTCAAATAGATATAACCGATTTGGGTACATTCCTGACATAGATGATAAATATTCCAAAACTTCTAAAGATAAATACTT